CAGGTCAAGTGGGTATTATCTGCAAGTGTGGGTGTTCTTGTGCATATGTCCTCTCTTTTTATCAGCTGAATGCTTCACTCTCCACATTGTAGGGCAAGTCGTTCAATTTTTGCCCATAGAATCCTTCAATATTCAAGCCAAGGCTCTTGACATTCAAGACCATTTTCAGAGTCTCTTCTGATCTCTATTTTGGTCTATTCTTTCTTTCTTATATTTTGCTTTCTTCATGTTTGATGTCCTTGGTGTCATCTATAATTTATCTGGTCTTTGGTCATTAGTGTTAATGTGTCAAATCTACCCTTGAGATGGTCTCTAACTTCAAGTGGGATATGCTTAAGCTTCTTGTGGAATTGCTTTAGTTGTCTCCATTTTCAACCTGAACAGTTGATTTCACATGAGTAATCGATGGTCTGTTCCACAGTTGGAACACCTTGTTCTGACTGGTGATAATGAATTTTTCCACAATCTCTTTTCACAGATGTAGTCAATTTGAATACTGTGATTCTATATAATTAGGTTCATGTGTATAGTTGCCATATATGTTGTTGAACAAAAGGTATTTGCAATGAATAAGTCGTTGGTCTTGCAAAATTTTATCATGCAACATCTGGTGTCATTTCTATCATGAGGACCATATTTTCCAACTATCAATCTTTTTGTTTCCAACTTTCACATTTCAATCATCAGTTGTTATTGATGTAGCTTGAATGCATGTTTGATCAATTTCAGAATGCAAAAGATGATAGAAATCTGCAATTTCTTCATGTTTGACTGAAGTGGTTGGTGCTCAAATTTGAATAATAGTCATATTAACTGGCCTTCCTTGTAGGTACATGGATAGTATCCTATACCTGCCAACACTGTACTTCAGCATAGATCTTGAAATGTTCTTTTTGATAATGAATCTAATGCCATTCCTCTTTAATTTGTCTTTTCCAGCATAGTATACCATACAATTGTCTGATTCAAAATGGCTATATCAGTCCATTTCAGTTTACCAATGACTAACCTATTGATCTTTATGTATTCTACTTCACTTTTGACAACTTCCAACTTTCCTAGATGCATAATTCATACATTCCATATTTCAATCATTAATGGATGTTTGCATCATTTTGAGTTGTGACACATCAGCAAATTAAGGTCCCCAAAGTTTTACTCCATCCATGTCTCTGAGTTGACTCTGCTCTGAGGAGACAGTGCTTCTTTAGTCCTATCTTGAGTGTCTTCCAACCTTAGAGGCTCATCTTTAGGTACTATATCAGACAAATGTTCCACTATTGTCTGATATAGTACCTAAAATCTTTTTTGGTCTTTTCTTTTCAGACAATTTTCACTGGCCTCCCTTTTTTTTTTTTTTTTTTTCAGAAATAGGCTGCCATGTTTTTCTTTCTAGTTTGCTTTAGCCTTGAAGTTCTGTTGAAACTTGTAATCCATGGATGACCCTGCTGATGGCTGAAGTAAGGATCACAGCAACACATAATCCACCAGAGTATAACAAACAAGAAAAAGTCATCTGTGTAGAGTGCTGTTGAGTCAGTTCTGACTCATAGTGATGCTTCATAGGGTTTATGAGGAACAGCTGGTGGGTTTTAACTACTTATCCTACAATGCCACACCAGCACACATCGATGAGTAGTGGCATGTTTATTGAGTGCCTTCAAATATCAAGCCTGCTTACAGGTTAATTTCCATTAGAATAAATATTTAGCTACATTTCAATGGCACATTAAGATATGGTGTTTTTGTTATGTGCTGTCAAGTCTGTTCTGACTCATAGTGATCTTGTATGTTCCTGAGGATCAGCTGGTGGGTCTGAACTGTCGACCTTGTGGTTCACAGTTCAGTGCTGATGCTACATTGCCACACAATGAAGATATACACACATATTAACATGTATAAAGTACAAGTTAATGACTATTTTTTGAGGTTGTAGTCAGGAAGGACATCTCTGAGACGGAGACCTTCCTGAGTCTATTTGGGAATGACTTGAGAAAAAGAGCCGTGTAAAAATCTGTAGAAAGAGCATTCTACTGAGGGGATCGTGAGTCATGAGATCAGAGAAGTCTGGGAGTCTTTTTGTGTTCCAGGAATAACATGTGTGGTAGGAGCTCAAAGTATAAGAGAGAGTGAGAAACAGCATGTGAGTGGTGGCCAAGAACAATCACATGGAGGCTGTAGACCAAAGTGTGGATTTTGAATTTTATTCTCTGTGTGATTGGAGAGTTTTAAACAGGAGAAGGCCCTAACATAACTTAAATTTTGAAAACATCAGTAATTTTGTAGAGAGAATAAATAAAAACATAAATCTAAAAAAATATAAAA